AATATATTATATATATATATAATACTTAATAAGATAACATCTTGAAACATTAAAATTCTGAAATTTTCATATTCTTGTATGATAGAAATGTACAATTTTAAAGTACTTACAATTTGAAAAGCTAATCTTATTTATATTGTTAAAATTTATGTCCTATCCACTCACCTAACGGATGGTGCGACTATAACGCCGACCAATACTAATCTCGTTACAACGAACGGATGGGATGGAGGAAATTCATAGACGTGTTTTAAAAAGAACGTATTCAGCTCGGAAACTTGCCAGAATATCACTAGCTGGCTTAAAGCGACCAATCGCATATGTGTACAAGTTGGATCAAGCCATCTAACAGATGTCCAACTGCCAGGAGTAAACTGCAACATTGCTCTCTTCAGCTTCCCAGTGGTGCTCTCAATGTCACGAATACTGACCCACCTGTATTTAAGAAAGTATTTAAGTTACAAGATTCAAAATTTTTCAATATTCTGTTGAAGAAAAAAAGAAAAAACTTTTTTCTCTCTAAAACAAAAATAAAATTTTCCGATAAGAAAAAAATTCTGAATAGAATGAATATATTTTGCTGTGCAAAATAAATTCTCTATTAAAAAAATAACGAAAATTTATTTAAAAGACATTTACATCTCAAGATTCAAACTAATAAGTTCTTACTTGTATTCCCTCATCTCCAATATGGAGCAAATTTTCAGGCCGACCCAGATACCCAATCCATTGCATACTAAAACGTCAAGAATCAAGGCATCCCACCAGCATTCGATAAAGTTTGGCAATAAATGAGCAAAGGCAATCTCTGTCACCTCCCACATGACACTGATGGCCCAAAGGATACCAAGATGACGAATTAGGACGGCTTTGAAGGCCCAGCCAAGAAAGTGCGCCAGCGCAAATATGTCTAGGTGGTTCCAGATTCTTTCCACTGTGACATCTGAACAATTGACACCATACTCCTTGTCCATGTCAATATGGAAGGAAGCTAATCCTGGATCTGCCCATACTAAGATCCTTCTGACTGTCTTGTAGTTTTGAAATAATAAAAACAGTAGACCCATCAAGTAAAGTATGCTGCAGCCGAATACTATCCGCCATACCACAGGATGAGGTCTGGTGAATGGACCATTGGGGAATGTCAGGACAGATATGATGAGGAAGAAGAAAATGACACACAATATGCCTGCCCACATATTGTCTTCCACATTGGTGGTATTTCTGAAAGAAATGTTTCAGATGTAAAACAATATACTACGTATTTCGATGATATGATAAAATTGTGTGTGACTTGTGAATTCCATTTGCATAAATTTTCTTGCTGACTGAATTATAAGTTATGATAGAAACCAGAATAATTGAAATTCCAAAATTTGCTTACGTTTATCAATCATAATAGACACATAACAATTGATATATACTTTTCCATTATATAAAAAGTTATAATTAATAATACAAGCTAAATTTAATTTAAATCCCTGATAACAATCATAATTGCTGTCTAAATAAGAACAAAAATATCAAGCAGAAATGATAGCGTTACATAATACAGTTAAGCTAAATGGAACCATAATCATGAACGGCTTATAATAGACAAACCAAGGACATATTGTAATTGTACCATAAATACAGAATTACTTGCACATGTACCTCAAATAAAGAAAGATGCAACAAAATTTATTTACTGACATTTTCTCGCTCTTATTAAAAAATAAAAATCTTCATGTATATGAGGATGACATAGTATAAGGGTTGTATTATTCAAGCATACTGTTCAATCATTGCCAAGGAATTTCATGTGATTATCTTATCAAAATTAGATACCGATTTTCATATAGACATAAATTTAATTACATTCTAAATATGAAATTTCTTTAGCCACTTGCGTCATGCGATTTTTTAATTGAAACATATCTTATATCGCTACGGAAAACGAGAGTCAAAAAAATTTAAAGTGAGACATAATCCGCAAGAATTCCAAAGGAGATCAAAGGGCCAAAATGAGGCTTTTAGCTACCTGGTAAACGCAGAGTATATAACTGCTCCAATGGAGATGAGTAGTAAGGTGATTGTATGCGGTTTATAGAAGAACTCGAGGGAGATATCGTCGACCGGCCTCTCATTGATGCTCGGGAAGCTGTCGGTCCCGGTGCGGAGCCTATACTCCTCCTCCTGCATTGTTGTCGCCATCCTTCCACAATACTCTCTACCAGTCTGAGTCTGCCTCAGCCTCGTTTGACCACCATCGGCAAACCAACACGTGTATTCTCGCGCCGTACCTGTTCTAATCTAAACGTGAACCTGAACACCCCTGGCACCCCTACGATCGGCGATCGAGTTGGATTGATTCGCCGGACTCGCGTGAACTTGCGTGCGCGCGCAACACATCAGCTTCAGCATGTTCAGCATCACACTCGCTTAGCGACCGCGCGCAACTTCACGCCAGTGAGCGCGCGCAATTGGTGCGAACGAGGCGACATCAGCGACGAGTCACGCATTGCGGTGGGGGTGGGAAACGGCGGGAAGAGACTTTGCTTAATAGGACGATTAGATATATCGTTCTTGTGGACACTTTTATACCTTTTGATCGTTATTCATGATGTCATATTAGCTTGCATTAGCTGTGCCATTTAGGGAACAATTGGCCGTGTATATTGAAATACACGGACAAAAGATATTTTACTGCGTATCTTTTCAATTGTAAGATTAAATAAAAAGAATTAGAAATTGCGCACGAATTACCACGTTGAACATAATTATTCTCATTTGGCTGTTTATTCCATCAACATTATTGTTCGAAATTATTATTTGATTTTTATTTTACTGCGTTACAAAATAATTGAACAGGAATGAGAAGTATAATATGGTTGGAAAGTTACTTGTAACGTCGTCACTTTTTGTATTAATGATATAATTTAATATACCTAATGATTTTACATTGTTTTCAGTAACGCAAGAAGTGGAAAAATTATTTTGAAGAAAGTAATTCAATCGTTATTAGGCATATATGGATTATACTTATTTAAAAAAGTAAGCAGCTTTTTTATGTGTGTGTATTTTTTAAATGAAAAAAATTTTATATTTATAAAAATGAAGATAAAGATAACAGATATTCTAATAATCTAGATTTCTAGATATAAAAATAAGGTACAACTTTTTTAATCTAGATGATTACTTAGATAATTTTATTTAGATGACGGTAAACACTATTCGTTATGTAAAACACACACACACTAATAAAAAGTAATACATTTTTTTTCAAATTATTATCAATAAAAAAATATAAAATCGCAATCGTTATAAAAAAAAATATAAAAAGAATACACAAAAAAATTTAATCATTAAACGTAAGCAAAATATAACAAATCCAACATGTTGATTTCTTTATTTTCTTGTGGAAAAATTTGTCCGAAATGTGTTCGAAATTATTCGAAATGTAATCAAAATGTGTTCAAATTTGTCATAATTTCTCCGAAAATTATCGAATACAAATTCGGATAGTTACGGATAAAATGAAATTTTTTAAATCAAATTACGACAATTCACTGTCTGAGTTTATTAGAATTTGTCATTTTTTTTACATTTCTTTGATAAACTCAAATTAACAAATTTTTTCCATCAGGGTCGCTTTTATTATATTACGTCTTATATTGATGCTTAAGTTTTTCTACCATGACCCTAATAGTAATACGATAATGGCGTACAGTTGAAGTGTACATCTAGTGACATATAGTATTAGTGCATACACGCGAGTCATTAATGCGTCTTTATTATAATGTGCATATTTTGATATGTGTGTAAGTGCATATTTCAGAATATATTTCTTATATCTGTATATGCACCGATAAGCGTTTAAATTCAAATTAAATGGCATTAAAAATACTGCCATGACAAACTTGTATTATTACATAATCATAATGTATTATGTATAGTTTATAAATGTATATACTTATGCGTAATAAATTGAAATATTACGATTAATACATTCCAAGCGGACATTTAAAATCTACATTTAGAAAACGTTAGTCGAAACATTTTTATGTTGTATAAAAATGATAAATAAACATTATTATTATTAACGTCAAATACACATTTAATAGGGAGTTTTTACCGTTTATCCCACATACGGTGAACGCTAAAGTCACGTTATCCTTTTCTTAATTACGTGTGAAGAAAAAGATAACGTGACTTTAGCGTTCACTTTAGCGTATCTGGAATAAACGGTATTGCAAAAACTCCTTATTAACTCATAATAGGAAAACATATTTTTTGTGATACTAAAAAAATATAAATCCTTATTATATATATTTAATGGTTTTCTGTTATTATAATTTTAGAAATTTTCAATTATACTTATACAAAATTGAAACACTTAAACTTAACATAAATATAGTACGATAGTTAATCTACATAAATGAAAAATAAAATATGTAAAATATAAACTTATTCCAAATAATTACATTGTTTAAAAATTAGGAAAAAAAGTTCTACAATCTTAGGACCTATAAGTATATGTTTCAATTTAAAAATGTTTTACTTAAAAATAATATTTTAAATTAGTAAAAAAAACGTTTAATGGATGACATAAACGCTTTTTTGACGTTTATTAAATAGTTTAATAAACGTATTAAATTTTAAATGTTTATTTTACAGTGTATACATCTATTAAACGTATTTTGAAAATATCTGTGTTACTTGGGATATATTATATATGTATTATATAATTTATAACGCAAAATAATGGAAAACATAAAGATTTGTGTACATATAAATTTATATAAATTTATATAAATGAATAAGTACAACGTGTAACCGTCTTGATCAATATGAGTCAGCTTGAAACATCATTATCTCTCTTGCAGAGATCGCGAACTAATTGTAAGCATTTGATTAGTTGAGACATTCGTATTCTGGACTTGTCACTTAGTTTTTATATGCAACTCAGGTATATTGTACGTATACATGTATATCATATATATACGTATATTATATAAATGTCAATCATAGACATATATGACGTCAATGTGCGCAACAATTTTTGGGAAAGTTTTTTATAGTTAAACTTTTTGCATTTTCAATTTTTTCCTTTTCTCTTTAGTATAATTTAATTGCAATATTACCTATTTTATTTTGAGTATGGAAAACAGTATAAATGGAAAGCTACAATTTTTCTAAAAATATAAAAGTCAATTTATTATGTAAAGTACTTTAATGTAATCTACTCAGAGTAATAACATTCAGTTATCAGCTGCAAAAAATTCAGATCTTATAAAAAGAACGACTCGTTCGCGTGTCTCGAATAATAATAATAATATAATAGATTCTGCAATCAATCTGCCATCATATTCTGCTAATAAATTCTATAATATATTATAATTTTGCTGGTAATCCATCGATTTAATAATTTTGTCATTACTTAAATATATTTATATCAATTTGTCTTTACTTATTCGTATATATATATTTGTATTCCGCATTGCAACGTTAAACAATATTGAGAAAAAATACTCCAATTAAAAAAAAATATTTCTTTGCCAGTATTTAAAAAAATTATTTCTTTTATAGATTAATACAAATTTTTTTGAAATTAAAAATTTTTTTACTTTTAAAATCTTGCTTTTTAAATTAAAAATAACTTAATTTTAAAGAAATCATTATTGATTCAAAGAAATAAGTATTTTTTTTTAATACGAGCAAAGAAATACTTTTTTGAAATTAAAATATTTATTTCTCAGTGAAGGACTAACTATAAATACTCTTCCAATTTAAAGGCAACAATCTTATCTTACAAAATCGAAAAAATGCGAAATCTTATCATATGCGGAAATCCGGATAGTCATCTAACACCTATAAATGCGCAATTATAACAAAGGTTACGAAAAGGATCAGTTGCGCAGCCCGTTGTACGAAGTACAAATTGATCGAACACTATGGATGAAGTAAATCGTAGCAAATCGCGCCACTTTTGTCGTATATAGGCGCACCCCACTCGGAATGAAAAGACGACAGTGTCGGGTTCCTGGCGAAACCAGTCGCGAACGTTCCGTCCATATTTGGGACACATTTTTTTACGCAGCAAAGCACGACGCGACCGCGCAACGGTCGCGACGTCCCACACACTCTTGAAGAATGCAGTCATATATGATTCATCCGGAATGATTGTTTTTTTTTTATAAAAACGATTCTAACGGTTTACCATCCGAATACAATGCGCGATCCATTGATACACCGGCGATTCTTTTTAGTGTCGTAAAAAAGAATGAAATATTTGCACATAGCATATACATATATATATAAATATTATTTAAATTAATAACATATTATGCGAAAAATTGTTCATATACCAATCAATTGGCATTCCATCTTTATTGAAATTTTCATAAAAAATCATTGAAAGAATTGATCAATAAATTTGTAAAAATTGTACACTGCAAGTAAAACTAAAATTCCAGAATATTATAAACAAAGTTAATAATTAAAAAAATGTGTAAAATATATGGATCTCAAAATTATTATTATTAACACTTTAATTAACCCTCGTTATAATGACAAATTTTAATCAATATTTAAATTCAGATGACAATGCAGCGTTTAAAAAGTTAACGCTAAACGTCTATTTTAGCAGCATTTTTTACAGTTATAGCGAAGCAAAGAGGCTTTTTAAAGAAACAAAAGCAAAGGGTAGAAAATATAAAAGATGAGACAAATGGACCAAACATGTGAGCAGCTGTCGAATTAATCGAGAACAGTTTGGCGATTGTTACACGGCGGTGCCGACAACGTTTAATGATTCAAATCGGCCAATGAGCGCGACGTGGAACTACCGGCAAGCCAATGAGACGGTCGCGTCAGTAACAGCTCGTTCAACCTCGGCAACGTTCGGCCGCCTTCGGTGACTCGAATACCGCACAAAGACGCCGCGCGATAAAAGCAGCGTACGAAGCGACCGGTTTGGTATACATGCACGGCGATTCGATTCGTTCTGTTCCATAGCGTCGGCGTCGTATTTGGTGTGTCAGGATTCCGGTTTTGTCTGCGTGCGAACGAGTTTACGTCCGTGATTCGTAGATCGGCAAGCCCGTCATCGAATCGAACGTATCGAAATAGCTGCAGCATTTCTTACTTCGCCACAGAAGGATAAAGAGAGAGAAGCAGGTAAATGTTTTCCCTTCGCCCTTTTTCCAACGCAAACAAAGAGACGCCGCCGACCTTCGCGTCACGATTTGATGAAACAACACAAAGCGTTGACACGTCTTTCTGGAGAGTTGATCAATGAACATGATTACATCGTTACTCGTTTATCACTTTCTACATTTGAGACGGTAAGGTTTTGTGATGCATTCCGTTATTATTCTTTTTTT